AGGGCTTAGGGTTCTCGGCGAGTTGAGGGCCCTATGGGGGGTTTAGGGTTTAGGGTTTAGAGTGGTTTGGGGTTTTGGGTTGGAGGTTGAGGATAGGGCAAACCCTCAATTCTCGAGCCTGCTGAACAGGTCATGACAGATCTTCGTGGCAAATATGTTTGTTGCATCTTTCCTGAAGCTTTGTTTAGCATTTGGCAAGAACCCAAAGCCCAAGTAAAAAACCTACCTTCAGAACACGCCGTCGGGTGTAGTGGTCGTAGTACAGACCACGCCAGAGACCGGGGTTGTGAGGCTCCCTGGGGTTTGGGGCCTCGGCAGCAAGGTCGTTGCTGGCGAACCGAAACCTTGAGGGCCTCAAAATGAAGGGGTTTGGGAACCCTAAACCCTAGAGCCTTGACGCCATATTGTTGGGGTTAGCGTTTCGCACGGCTTTGGACCATTTGGGGTTGGAGGGCTTTTCGGGGTGTAGTTCTGTCGGGCTTGGGGTCTCAAGTTTAGGGTTGTGGTGGCTGAGGGCTTCAAGGTGGATTTCAAGTCCAGGGTCGCAGGCTTGCGTAGACGGGCAATTCCCAAAACAGGGGTACCCCTTTTATAACCCAAGTAGAAGAGAACCCCCTCAGAAACCGAACCCCCCTTCAAAAAGGGTCCCCCCCTGTTTTCGGAAACCCTCATAAACCCAACACCCTAAAACCTAAACCCTAAACCCTAAAACCCTGAACCCTGAACCCTGAACCCTAAACCCCACACCAAACTCAGTGATCTTCAGCCCAAGGAGCGTCTCCCAGCTGCAGCAGCTCCTCGGATCGCCGGCGTAGGACCGAGGCCTCTTCGGAGCCAGTGCTTTTCCTATAGGATGGCCCTTTTAAGGCTTTTTAGGGTGAGAAGAGCAGGCGCAAAAACTCGTCGTCAGTGCTTTTTCCTATAGGATGGCCCTTGAAACCCTCTGAAAAATATTCCTGAATATGATCCTCTTAAACCCCAATAAGGCAAAAACACAACATGTCCCAAGGGCCTACCTAGTTGCGTAAGGAACTCCCATCAATTCTTCAACGGCATCCCGGGCACCTTGTTCTGCAAGCGAGAACTTTGATGCAGCTTCTTGGACACCAATAACCCAAACTCCCTATACCATCAAAGTGGGGAAAACCCGAATAGCACCCTAAACCCGCACCTGCTTCTTACGTTCGGTTAAGCTATTCTGGTCAAAGTTCCCGGTTGGGCACTACGGGTGATTTGGGACACGTTGCTGTGGCCATCGCTTTGGAAGAAAACCATAAGTGGGTTCCCCAATATAGACCCCAAATAGTAGGATCCAGGTACCCCTAATATCGTAAACCCCAATGAGAGCCTCCTCAGCGGAGAGCGGCCCGACGACACCGTCCAATGGCTCCTGGCAAGCTGCCAGCCCCGATCGAACCCTAAAACCCACCCAAAACCCTCGATACGAGCGCCCTCCTGAACCGAAACACTCTGAAAGATTGGGTATTGCTTCATGTGTGCGTCATGTGCGCATTAAGGATTTGCGAGCTGTTCTCGGTTGAAAGCACTCAAGTTGATGACGTCTTCATCGGCAAGGTTGCCGTTCTTTTTGTGGGCTGTGAGCAACAAACTTGCTCACCTAGAAACTATGTGTCGAAGTACTTTGTGAATGTGTGGCTGCACTTTGAGGGCAAGACATGAGCTCGAAAGAGTTTGGGATTCTGTTTGTCGCGCTCGGGGATGTCGGAGTGGAGTGAGTGAGAATGTCCTGAACGCAACTCTCGATTTGCGCGCCCGTTGTGCGCGCCCCACACCTTTAAACAACGTGAGGCACTCGGCTGAAAAAAGACTCTAAGAACAAAAACAAAAAACAAAAACTTAAACACCCCATGGCCCTGAGATACCATTGCGCACCAAAAGCCCTTGAAAGGCGCGATGCCACGTCGCACGCTTCCATCCGTCCTGTCCTTGGCCTCGAAATCCTTTAGCTCACTGACTTCCTGGAAGTTTAACTGGGGCTGAGGGCGTTTGAGCTCTTTAGGGTTACAGGGCTTTAAGATGTGCTGGGGCTCTCATTTTTGTGTGGGGTGCGGGGCTGTGGGACCTTCAGGGATTCAGCCTTCATGGTGTTAGGACGTTTTGGGGTTTTGGGGATGCTTCGGAGTCAGGATCTGTGGGGCGCGTACTCGACCGAGCCCGGACCTAAACAACCCTCGGGCTCAGAACATGGGGGAGGATTTGGATTTGCGTTTGGGCTTCAGAGCGTTTTGGACCTTTCTGTGTTTTGCTTTTCTTAGGGTTTGGGCTTCGGCAAAGCTCGGGGTTTCTCAGGGCCTGGGGCTTTGGGTGTGCGCGTTGAGGGTTCAGGGCTTGCAGGGTTTGATTTTGAAATTCGGCCGCATATGATATGAGAAGCCTCCGCACTTGACATATCCGCCTGTGCATCCTGGACACCCACAATCCTTGCATCCCTAAACCCTAACCTTCCAAAGGTGTTTCAACTGCGGACAGAAACCATGCACCCGTCAACACAAAACCGACGGCACAGCACCCGCCTGCTGCGGAATCGCCGCCTGCTTCGTGCCATTTTACACCCGGGCTGGGGCCCATCCCGGGCTTCGTAACCAAAAACCGCATAAGTTTTTTTTCAACTAAACTCTAACCTAAGTTTATGCCCCGAAACTAACTCTAAACCTCAACTAGTGTAAACACTGGACTCTCTCTGAACATTCATGTCCGCTAAAAGCCCAATCGATAAGAAGCTCAGAGCTTCAGGGCTTCTTCTGCAACCCGAACCCTGGCTCCCAACATCTGCAAAGCTTTGGGGAGTACCGTGCTGCCCGTAGGGTTTAGGGGCTTGCAGAGGGTGAGAAGTTTACCTGCACTTACACCCACATTAGAGTACTTGGGGGGCTCTGGGTAGGACATCGGGAGGGGGGGAGGGTTGGGGATCTCTAAACCCTAAGCCTTTCTGCCATCCTTTGTTTCTTAGGGTTCAACGCCCCCTCTTTGCAAGGGCTACAGTCCCCTCAGCCCGGTTTTTTGTAAACGCGTTCTTGAAGGTTCTATTGTGCAAAATCAAGATGAGGAACGTGAGCTCAAAGCAGTCCCCTGCCTCCACGCCGTCAGCGAAGCGAACGTGGATCTTTCCCTCCGCGTCTGCGGCGGACTCTGCCTTGTTTCGCGTTATTTGGGCCCCACAAACCATACCACATAAAGTGGCCTGTTTAGCCTCAGGCTGTAGGGTTGAGGGTTCGGGGTTGAGGGTTTTTGAGGTGCTTGCGGAGGCTTCCAGGGTTTGCGGGGATCTGGGTTTAGGGTTTTCAGGGTGTAGGCAGACCCTAATCCCTACAGAGCCCTAAACCCTAAAGATCCCCTGACTAAAGCTGCAGCCCTCAAGATCCCAAAGTGGTGAATTGTTGACGAAGTGCCCGGTGCAACTTTGTTACGCGCAAGGGCACCTGAACGCTCCATGGAGATCATCCTATTTGGTGTTGCTGACAATGTAGGCGCCTTGCAAACTTCTATATAGGTGCCCTTGAAAACTTCTGAACATACTCCTTATCACAAACGACTCAAGCCCCAAAGGAGAAATATATTAACATAAAAGTGTACATGTGTAGAATATACATATGTTGTTTTTGAAGTTTTACTTGTATGAAAAATTTGCTATCTTCTATAAAACGATCAAAAGGCCTGCATAGTTAACTCCGCAATGTTTTACCGAGCCGCCCACCACATGTGGAAGCTCCCCAAGCGAGCAGAGGATGTTCCACCAGCTTGAGGGGTGCTACTAGTAGCCCAAAACCCTTCAGCCCTTCAGCCCCAAACGCCGGAAAGGCTTAAAGGCCGAAGCCAAACAGGCCAAACAGGAGCAAAACCCCAAATGCCCTCTAAACCATAAACCCTAAACACCTAAAGCATAAAGCCAAGAAAACTAATACCTAAATCGACGCTGAATGCCCCACTCAACTCTTTGCCGAGGGCATCGCCACTGCACGCCGGGAGGCGCCCTGAAGGCGCGTGGATTGGGTGGACTTTGGCTTGAGGAGGGTTTTAGGGCTTTGGGTTTCGGGGTTTAGGGCTTAAACAAGGGCTATATATGGTTTAGGGTTTAGGGGCTTTGGGGTTATTCCGGCCTTGGAGTTCCAGGCTTCCAAAGCTCTTTGCTAGCTTCCTTATTAGCCCTATAACTTATAACCCAAAACCCCCAATAATGTAGGGGTCGGAATAATTACCAATGGCGTTGCCTTAGGGTTCCCATATAATCATACCATGATACTCCCCAAATCATTACCATAATAACCCCCAAACCAAAGGCTCCTTGTCGTAACCCCCACTCAACCCCAAACCCAAGGAGTCGCGGGCTCATGGGAGGGCTTTGAGGGTTGAGGGTTTTTTTTGGTTTAGGGTTACTGAGCACGCAGTTCGAGGACCAGCAGATCTTGCGCTTAAAACAAAACCCGCTCTGGGAGTGAAGCCTAAACGGCTCAGAACTCCGAGCTGCTGCACGCGCCGCGATGCTACGACATATGCGCTGAGTGTAAGTTAGTAGCGGTCCTGCAGAAAGAGTCGAGGCATGCGTGGCCGTGGCGCCAGCCAATTTTGTCTTCTTCCAGGCCTGGAAAGAGACGTGCCACCAGATTAGCATTCTGAGTCGGGAGCAGCCAGCCACGCCTCGGCAAAATCGACCGCCAAGATCGTCTCATCGGTGACCTTAGCCTGCTTTCCGACGAGATAGGCGAGCTCGTCCAAAAGGTGATGCTCGCCAGCTGTCCTGCGACTACCAGCCACATCACCGCGGCAGCAAGAAGCTACTTTGTGTCTGACCTGCGCTGTCGACGGTTGCGGAGCACGGCGTGGACACGCGGCTGCATCAGGCCCCAGCGTGACCACCTGAGAAAACATCCACCAAAAACAACCCACATGATCCAAATCATGAGACGACATTTGGAAAGTCTGAGGCTTCAACATCAAGTCCCTTTGGGAACCACACTTGGCCCAAGAGCGCCTCGCCCGGCATGTTCTTCACCCAAATGCAAGGTCAGGACTCAGCAGCCCTGCAAGCTGCTTTTAGCTGCTATACTCAATTGCCCAAAGACGACATGTCCACACGACAGTCTCTACAGTGCTGTCAAGTGACGCATCGCTTCAAGGCCTGGTCTCTGCTCCCTTCCCGGGAGCTTCCACGCGCTGTCGAAGTCCCAGCCGTCCAACATGACTTTGGCCTGATCCCGCAGCAAGGAACCAGCAAGCAAAAAATCAGAGTGCCACATGAGGACCGTGCAGCCATGACGGAGGACAACTCAGCGTCGCATGGCGCCGAGAACTTGTCGCAGATCTTCTGGCAGTACTGCAAGAAGTCCTTCGCCGGATACGTCTTCGGCGTATCCATGGCCTGCCGCATCCTGCCGCACACAGCACGCAGTCGGATGACAGACACCTAGTCACGTCAATGCTGACCTGCCACTCATAAACGGTAAGAAAACCTTTCCGCCTTTGCTCGCTAGCAAGCGCACAGCCCCAAAACCTTCAGACGTTCGATCGGCGTTAAGAACGCGTGTTACGCCAGCTCCCCCCCCCATTCATCATTGCAAACCCCATCAAACTGGAATTTCAAAACTTGCTCGACTTTTTGGGGGGGCCTTGACGGAGTTTGCTAGGTTTATTGTTGGGAAGTGAGTAGAAGTCTTTCCCTGTTGGGCTGGCCCCAACATCAGGTTCCCAACGCGCCTGTCGCGCTGCCACTGGCGTTGGCGACGATGCCTCGAACATGGGGGGCTGTCGAGCTACAGAACGAAGTCGACGGGAAACAAAGAACAACAGGCGTGGCATAGACTATTCTTTCTGTATTATACACTAAGACTAGCAGCCAGCACACGTTTCCCATAACCGACGGGCACCGCGAGGGGGATGTAGCAAGCACATCTGGAGCCGAAGCTCGTGCTGCTTTACGTCCCCCCCAGGCTACCCCCTTAAAACATCGACCCGACTCCGGAGAGAACAACGCAACAAATGCCAGCTACAGCATACATTTAGTCTTCGCCTCTAAGCAACGACGTACTGTAAACTAGTTTGCAACAAGACCGAGGGGTCAGATGTTTTAAGGGGCACCCCCCCCCAAAAAAGTTTCCAGACAGAAGAACAACGAACAACCATCGCAAACAAACTGCTACATACACGAACTCACCCTCTTCTCCCAAGAACAAAGAATAACAGCTCAACACCATAGGTCTGAAAGGTCTGGAAACCTAGTATAGAATACTTTTTTAGTTTTTACGCGCACATGCAGGGGAAATGCAGTTCGAGATTGGAAAAAGGCTCTCCCGGCCCTTCAGATAGGGAGGCTTGTGAGAGGGTTGTTAGTAGTCGTAGTACCACTACTAGCACTACTACCACTAATACCACTACTATCGCTACTCAACTACCAATACTACCAACCACACCACGACTACGGTGAGACAAGCGCCCAGCGCCGATTTGACCGCTCGCTGGGGCTCCGCCAAAGGCACGTAATCCGTTCCCCCTAATATTAATACCCCCCTAATATAAAGAACACCCTGGCCCAAAATCCCGATCCCGTGCCTGTCCCTATTAAAATCTCTACAGAAAGAGGGGGGAGTTAGGGGGGGGGGAGGGTTGGAAGCCGGAAGCAGAAACATGAACCTTGTCCAAACGTAGCTGTCTAGGCTTAGGCTGGGCTGCTGAGCCAGCGTGCTGCAATAAGGACGGGCTGGTTTTTCGGACAAACGATAAGAACCCCCCCAAATACAAAAAACCCTTTGGGGGTTTTTATACAAGGGGGGGGGGGGGGGGGGCCTTTAATATTAGGGGGAACGGATTATGGCCAATTGGCGTCGGTGGTGACACGGCCCAGTTGCCAAGATGGCAAAGGCTCACGCCGTCCGTTTCCACAAGGGCCACCTGGAGACCAAGGATCATGCATCTTAAATGAAATATCATCTCCTCCTGCCAGAACAATCAGCGTCATGTGTGACCGCAACGATGGCAAACGCGGACTCGAAACACCACCCCCCAAAAAAAAAACAGCCCCGGCCTCCTCCTCTTCCGCCGCTGCAGCATTCCCACCTCCCACGGCGACGCCTTAACAAAAGAATTACACACGCAATTCGAAACAGAACTCATGTAGAACTAAGCACACTGCCCGTGTTCTGCACCTGCTGCAAGCGTGAAATCAAGAATAAAATTGAACAAAATAACTACATATACTTGTCATTCTAGTGAAGTGTTACTAGGTCATGAATTTATTCAGCTTGCAAACCGAACTTTAAGAATGTACTAAACTTAATATGGTTCTGAGAATACTATATGTTATTGTCTTATAGCAGACAGCGGCCGACAATTCACTACCCCAGCCACCAAGCCTCGATGCTGCCGCGAGTATCGCTCCCCTGAAGAAGCAACAGACGCAAACAATTGAATTGTTCCTTGGACGATGACTAACAGTAATTCAAGGACGATAAACAACGCAAGAAAAGCAATGTGCACAGTTGCCGAATATGAAATAAAACCCGCCTCCAGTGCAACAGCACATTCGCCACAAAAGGTGTGGCCACAAGGAACAAGCGCAGTTAGGCCGGTCTTGTCCTGGCACACGAGATGCTTGTCGAAACATTGAATCTGCTTCAAAAAATGCTGCCTCCAGACAGTTGTCCAGACAGATTGGACATTCGTCGACTCCATGCGCGCCGAAGATCCTCACCTTGTGCAGCTGCAGAATAAGTAAGCATCTTGATAATTATGCTCACGCAGCGCTCGAACTGAGACATCAGCTGTCGTAACGCAGCTGATTCGGCACACCGAGCACCGCATTGCGAAGGCCAAACAAAGGTGCAGCAAAGATAGACTTTTTCCGACACCCAACATTTCAGGGGTTTGGGGGGGGGGGGGGGGGGGGGGGGTTGGGGGTTTAGGGTTTAGGGTTTAGGGCTTAGGGTTTATATACCGTACAGGGTTTAGGGGTTTTAGGGCTTTTAGGGGGTTTTAGTGCTTAGGCTGTTTAGTTTTTAGGCAGCGTTGATGGCTTAGGGTTTTAAGGGTTTAGGACTTAGGGTTTTGAGGGTTTAGTATTTAGGGTTGCGAGAGGGAGAGACCGGAGGCCGCCTCCCAGCGCACCCGCACGCGCCGGCCTCCAGGAATTTTGGGGTTCCCTCTTTGAGGTTTCAAAATGTTTAGGGTTTAGGGTTTAGGGTTTAGGGTTTAGGGTTTAGGGTTTAGGGTTTAGGGTTTAGGGTTTAGGGTTTAGGGTTGAGGGTTTAGGGATCCCTAAAGACAAAAGCGTCTGAGGGACGAGCGCTTGCCCAGAGCGGCCTTTTTGTAGTACTACTATTATGGAATTGGGTACCCCAAGCCCCTATTTAGTATGGTGTTTGGGTACCTGATTCCATAATCGTACTACAAATTGGACCCTCTGAGTTGGGGGGCTGCGCCTCTTTAGGGCTTTATCGGCCTTATAGGGTCTGTAGGGTTCACAGGGCTTGCAGGGTGACGTAAGGGCTCAAAGGATTTGCAAGTTGAGAGTTTGAAGGCGTAGGGTGTGGGGATTACAGGGTTTTTAAGGCTTGCCGTGCTTGCAGGGTTTACAAAGGGTTTCAGGGTTGAAGGGATTCGAGGCCTAGGTTTGTGAAGAGAAGGCAGAGCAGCAAGTTTCTTGAGGGCTGCGCCGTGTGATCTCTTCCGTGTGACCTCTTCATGTTGCACGAATGCCTCGGAACCCTTGAGCCATGAGAGCCTTCGGGCATCAACGGTTTCATGGCTTCGGGTTTGGTTCTACATGGTTCTACAACCGCGCGCACGCCAAATTCTGCATCTAAACCTGCAAGCCTATACTGGGCTTACACCCCAAACAAACCACAAGTAATAGGGGTCGGAAAAACACACGCCGCGAACCTCCCTCTAAAATCCCCTGGACTTTGAACCTCCGACCCTGGTTGATTCCAGCCCTTGTGAGTGGCCTCTGGATTTTGTGTCGGTGCGGGGGGATATATAAGGGAATCCAAACCTTGAGGGAACGGAGAAAGGATTCGACTGGTGTGTCCTGCTTAGCCTGCAACGGAAAAGATGTGTTGGGCTCTTATTAGTAGCGCTTGACCCTGCACCGCCTTCGCTGACCATGTTGGCACAAGAGCGGATGTTGGCACAAGAGTGGCAAAAGGAGGCGTCCTTACTTTGTTGCTGCTTCGGTCCTCGAGGAGATCGACTGCGTGGTAAGCCGCTCAAGTCGCCCTAGGCTCTAAACCCTGCACAAGCTTGCCTACCGACTGCCCAGATCCTCTCAACTCAAGATCTGCCATGGGTCGCATGGATTGAGCATGGACTTGCTGAGTGTGTCAGGAGCGCTCATGACAGCAAAAGCTGCAGATCAACCGGCGCGTCTCCCTTGCAAGCTCCCGGCACCCCGGACCCCTGTAAGCCTGATTTGAACTAGGTTTTGGGCCTGGCAACATTCCCAAATCGGTGCTCTAAACCCAATGAGGGAAAACAACGCATATGTCAAGGAACCCAGAACCAGGTCCCAGAAGAGTAGCCTTGGAATGTACCCTTGTTGGGGCTCGGCCCAAACAAATAGGAACGATATGCCCGGCTTTTGAAGAACCCTAAACCCTCAACCTCCTCTCACCTGCACCCCGAGCAAAGCGGAGCACGGGGGGTGGGCTGGACCTTTCTGTCGTTCGAACATCTCCACCAGTGACCTGAACTTGGCACACCCTCTCCCTACCTACAGAGCAGCAAAGGACAATGTAAGTTAAGGACAACGAAGGGCGCATTGTCCGCTACTCTGTAGGTCAACCCTTTGCACCCCAAAAAGGAGTCCTAGGAGCTCAGCCCCCGGCTTCGGTGCTGCTTCGGGGATGTAAAAAGGGCTTCTAGAGGGTTCAGGGTGTCTCGAGCATGGCCCCTCACTAGGCCCTACACCCCGGAGAGCCCCAAGAGTCCACGGGTCAGGGTTATGACAGCAATCTTAAGGGCCTAAGCCCTGAAACCTTAGGGTGTAGGATTTACGGTTTGTAGGAGGGCTAGAGGTTGATTGCTTTCAGGGTCGTACGGTTTGTCACGAAAAGGACATTCACAGATTACACAAAGTTTGTGGATTTGGGGCTCTGGGCTCAGGATTTAGGGTCTTGCTGCAGTTTTAAACTGCTCTTCTGGATGCAAGACCTGAAGCCCTCCGAACTCCGAAGCCCACAAGAAGCCCTCAACCCTGAACGTTGCACGAAGCACCTATGCGTGGCCTGGACTCGTAAATCCGAGGGCCTCAGGGTTTAGGGTGTAGGGTTTCGGGGTATTTCAGTTTGGTCTTGGGGCTCAAGGCGGCTTGGCGTATAGGGTTTTAGGGTTTGGGATTCCACCCGAAACCCTGAACACAGAAAAGCGGGCCGCGGGCTTGTGAGCTTGGCGCCCTTCTTCCACACCACCGGTGTTCGGA